CTGCACCTGGACCCAGCTGCCTGCCTCCTCCTCAGCCTCCCTGACATTGCACAGCCTTCTCCCTGCCTCCTGCAGCTCAGCCGCCGGCCGCAGGAGCTCCTGGGCACACGCTGTGCAGGCAGCTCTGCCCCTGCCCCCGGGGAAAGGTCCGGGCACCCCTGCCATCCACGGTCTGCGCCGCAGCCTCTCCCTTCCGCAGCTCCGGCTGGGTGGAGGCATCGCTCACCGCAGGGGGAGATGGCGCAGAGCCCCAGCGGAGCGGGAGCCTTTGCAGCCCTCGCTCGAGGTCCAGTACTTACCCCTCTGCCTGGAGGGTAGGTGGGATGGTTGGTACTGCAGCTGGTCCTCAGCCCTGCCCTCCTCCTACTACTAACACACCACCAATAACAAAAAGTTTCTAAATCTTGCAACTGCAGATGGTTCAACAAAAGGCTACAAATATTGCTTGAACCTGCAGAATAATATAATCCCCTGCAATTATGCCAGGTTGTCCCAGGTAACTTGCTAAAAACTGGGACAGCCCATGGATCCCAGCGCAGAACTTGTCAGGACACCACAGATCTCAACACATTAGTTTTCTAGGAAGTTTGAGCAAAGCCCACCAGGTAAGATGGTCTACTCGAAGAACATGCTACCAAAAAAATATCTATTATCACAATAGACAAACATTTCTGCATTTTATTCTTACAGTTTGACATGTGGTAGTTTGTTGGTTAGGTGTTTCTGAGAATGATTGGTCTTTTACCATAGTAGATTTTACAGTACAAATGAGCGCAGTGCAGCACTGTGCTATCAGCAGTGACTGAATGCAAGAAAAACACGAGTGCAACTCATTATTCCTAGTTAATGAGGATTTTTGTCTGGTTTCATAGGGCACATTCTATAGAGCTTTGAACCCTTTAAAACTAAATCTTTTCGTCTTCACTTGTCCTCTTGCAGAGTTAGATATAGGATAAAATGGCAAAGCATTGAGCAATAGAATAATTTCTCTTTGCTGAGCTTTTATTCTTCATTTCTTGGCTTTACATATGCAAGCAAGGCTTAAGGGTAGATTGGCTTTCAGAACAAGTAATTCCTTGGACAGAAAATAAGATTTGGGTGAGATGTGTATCCTGGTTTTCTAATTTCCCTGGCACGATGCCATTTTTGTCAGTGGCTTCTCTAACTCACATGAGTACGGAGACTGTGGCCCTCCTTCACTTACATGTTCTGGAGAGGGTTAGTAAACTTCTCGCCGTCAGGCTGTCTGCGGCACAGCAGTATTACTCAGGAATTCTGCTGGAGAGACACTTCTGGTTTGGAAAGACACAAAATGCATAAACGCTTGGAGGGCAAGGTCTTGGAGGGGTCAGAGAAATCAAACCGATTGGCTAAAATGAAGCAGAGGAACGATGTGTCCTTATTTCCCCCCCAAAATTAGCATCTGACAGGACCAGGCTTTTGGGAAAATAACCAGACTGAAGGGATAAACTGAGGTATTTATTCACTTTCAGCCTGAAATGTAGATCTGAACAATACACTTGCAGGGTGCCAGAGTGTTTGGGAAGGTTTGGATTGACAGTCATGGGAAGTAATGAAAGCTCATTGACTAATCCCATTGATTCCAATGCAGGTGGTGGAGCACATGCTCACAGGGGCACCAATTGCTTCAATTCAGCTGCACACCTGGTTCTGTCAATGTCAAATAACAATTCCTCCCAGCTGTGTATTCCTAATGGGATTAACGGCTGAACCCAGGACTGCAGCAAGGGGCTGCCATTAAAGGCAGGGGACCAGGTCCGAAGGCCCCTGAAGCTCCTTCCCCACCTGGGGTTATAGAATACATAAAAACTGAATCAAGGGATGCTGCAGGTGATTACAGTTCATATTGCTCAGATAGAGTGTAACATTCATTTATTGTCTTTTACAGCTATAAAAGTCCTGAGGTTACTATTATGCTGGTAGCAGAGAAAACGTCCCCCTGTGTTTCCATGGGAAGCCAGCAGACGCCAAGGTAGAGCCGGGGCGGGGGGAGGCTGCAGATGGGGCCACAGCTGCTCCCACCCACCTGCTCTTAAGCTATTCTCCAGATATCCTCTGAGCTGATTCTTTGTTCCACTCGTCCTACCTGGTCATTTTTAAGATTTCCATCTCTTCTAAACCTGGTTGCTTTTGCTTCATTTTGCTCATCGCCAGGTTCAGAAGGGCTGTCCCATCCCGGGTACCCTGGGGAAGTGCTAGGCCACCTCTCTCTTTGAACAAAGGCTGGGGTCTGCTCATCAGCTGCTTGACAAGGGAGTAAAGGTGTTAGGGCTGACAGCGAGAATGGTTTTGGTTGTTTTTAGATGAAATCTCATCTATGAACTGTAAGCCTAGTTTATAGATGTCCAAACTAAACAAGAAGCAGAGGTAACCGACTTTGTTCTCTTTGTTCTTTCAGAAAAACTAATATGTAGGTCGTTTGGGTGTTGAGGTTTTTTTTCCCTTTTTTTAACCCTTTAGAGTCAGTTCCACATTTTATCCAGCAGAAACTAAAGATGGAAACATTAGAATTCTGTGGATTCATTTAGCAAGTACCAATTAACAGGTTCCTGTTGTTCATTCAAAAAGTTACAGGCAATCAATCTTCAGAATATGCGCCAAGGGGATTATTAAATAACTTACAGGGAATTTGAGTGTTCTTTGCTGACCTGAACTATACCTTTCAACCTAAAAATCCTTTAGACTTCAGAAATATTAGCTGTTCAGCTTAAATAAGTAAGTTTTAAATGGAATGAATCACTTGGAGTTGTAAGGTTGTGTGATTTAGTATGCTCTTTACTTAGCTTTACTTACTTCAGCGAGTAGCTAGATTTGCTGAAGACCGAGGCTGCAAGCCATAGATTTCCACTTAGGTGTACTTTTCCTTTTAGTAGCTGGTACAGTGCACTGTGTTTGGGGCTTCTTTAGTGTGAGAATAATGTAAATAACACACTGAAGTTGTGGTTATGGCTGGAAGGGCTAAGCATTTATCCTAAGTCTGGAACCTTTTAAACAAACACAGACTAGAAGATACAGAGGCTTCAAGGCTACAACCGTCAACAGCAGGTGCAACTCATCAAGAGAGGAACAACTGATACCTGCCCGGAGACATAAAGGATCAATGAGGTGGTAGAAGACCCCAAACCAAAAATCAGAATTGGACCAAAAGTTGCGTGAACAGCACGTGAGGGGCGGGTGAAGGGTCTGTAGGGGTAGAATTGCCCCAGAATTTCTTAGCTCAGGCTCCCTCTCTGGAGGCACCCAGCTCTAGCTGACCCTGCTGCTGTAACATTTAATAAATTATTTATTTTTTCTGACTTTGATGCCTGAGACTCTGCTACAGGAAACCTAGGGTTCGGACGATGGAGGTAACGCCAGATGCTTGGATGGAGCAGGCTTCCTTAACAAGACTATTTTTTATATTCTGGAGCTTATACTCGCTGTCTTTTAAATCTTTTTGAAAAACTAGAGCAACATACGGTAGTGCAACCTCCCCAGCATTGTCTTTCTTTGCTTACCCATTAAGTAATGGAATTAAATGTTCATTATTACTAGTAGAACTCTGGTTTACTTTCTTGTTAGTTATAACTTATTTTGAAGCTTCAGCCCTTCTGACTTTATACACTCACACTATTATTTTTCACTTGCTTTGAGCCAGGAAGCTTTATTCTCACTTTTTATATGATTCCCCATCCATTTCCAAATCTCAAACAGTTACTATGGCATTTTTTTCCTGATGCTTTTTCTCCGCCTTTGAACTTTTAATCCATTTTTTCAGTCACTGTCAATGCTTTGCCCAATTTTCCCCAACAGATGAGCAGTTCTCCATTCTTTTCTGGTTGCAGTTCCCCATGTACAACTATACATTTCTGAATACTAAAATAAACAAATTTATTTTTTTTCAGGGTTGTAACTTGATTGGCCATAATTTAAATGAGTTTCACCTTCTTGCGGAAAGAGTTCCCTCATTAGAACAGGTCCTCTAGACAACACCTCTTCCTGGTCTTCCTGAGCTGAAGGCTGCTCTTTGAATGCCACTGTCATTATTTTGCTTCCCTATTCCTTTCTGACCTTAGAATGACACCATCACTTTGTGATTATTTTTATCCAGATTACTCAAATAAAAATAATTAAAAAAAAAAGACATTTTATTTCAACATTCCAACATTTCCAGAAACACAATATTACTGGAAATAATCAACAGAACTGCAAGAAGTTTTAACTCAGTGCTGCACGATGTATATTTTGTTATTACAAAACTGCTCTCTGGTTGAAAGTCCTACAACTGCAGCAGCTTGAAAGCTGCTTAACAATGTCACAAATAGCATTTTTGTTTTTCTAACATACCTTGTGCTAGAAAACCTCCCCACATGTGGCAAACCTATTAGTTTGAAAGAGGAAGTGGTAAATAGGCTGTACAAAACAAATCTTGCAGTATCTGTGTCATTCGTGGGTTTTTTGTTATTGGCAGCCTCCATTTTAAAAGGACAAGCTTTTTCACTTCATTTCAGTTTATCAGCAGGCTGACTTAGAGTTTTGCCATCATCTGCCTCCAGTTCGTTTACCTCTTCCTGTAATTCATCCTCCAGCTCATAGTCCAAGACTGATTCAGTGTTACCATCCCAGTAATCAGCTTCGTATCTGTCCAGCAAGTATTTCTGTGGTGTAATGTCATCATCAGGAGGATTCCATGTTTTTTTCTTTCTCATTTTCTTTCGAATCTTAGAAAGCTGCTGCTCTTGCTCTTCTGTCCAGGCAATGCTTTCTATATCTCTTGACGCTTTCAGTCTTTTGTAGTCCATTATCTGCTTATTCAACAGTTCATGATCAATGCCAAAAAGATTAGACCGCATAGGTGGATCTGAAGATTGAACCTCTGAAGAGAGTGGTTTACTGGAAAGGAAAACAAATGTTGTGGGGTTTTTTCCCCGTGTATATTTTAAGGGGCAATGCTAATTGTGACAACTCAAGTAACACAGAAATAAACTGGAGTTTTTGTTTGACTTTTTTAATTCACTGTGTTCAGTATTGTGCTCCCTGTGTTAAGAAGGAAGAGATACCAACGTACTGTGTGTCCAAGGACAGGCTGTGTATACACCTGTCAACGTGCCAACAGATTTAATGGGAGGAAGCCAATAAAGCAACTACGTTCCAGATGAAACTGCTTGTTTCTGGGAAAAGGTGTGCACAGGTAACAGTGAGCACTGGATCTGGGAGCCCCAAGAAGTTAGACTTCTCCCAGCTCTTTCAAGAAGTGAGAAGCCTGTGCCCAGAACGTGTCAGACAGGTATATGAACAACAGCACATGGCATTTTAAGCTGGACTTAAGTATTTACACAAGACACAAACAGAGGAGGACATTAGGTGCCCTGTGGGAAAGTCTTGTCACAACAGTAGTTTCTCCCAAGAAGCTATTTGTGATTTGCACCTGATGAGCAGTCTTGGGAGACAATGCATTTCCACCAACAGACAGCAATACCCCAGTGCAAGGCTGCTGGCTTTGGGAGAATCTCGTCCACAGAATCATCATTCCAATAGACTGTTCAGCCATGAATCCCTCTCAGAAGAATGCTAAATCAACTGACTTTTTCTTAATTTTGGGAGATTTATCAGTGAACTTGCATTTAAGTATAACAATCCAAACTTATACCAGAAAAAAAGTGTCCAAGTAGAGGAGTACTGGTAAATGCAAAGCTTTTATCCTCATGAGAAAATTACCAGCAAGAAATGAATATTAATGCTGCAAAGCATTTTTAAAATTGAATTATGACAAACACATTGAGTCTTGAATTATTGGAAATTCTAAAAATATTGCCCTCATCAAAGTAAAGCCTGCAAGTAACAAGTCTGATCTATGTCACCCAGAGTATAGACATCAAACGCCACTAATTATAAGACTGTGTTCCGATAGCACCTTACGGGTTAACTGCCTCTGGAAGTCTATACACTATGCTCTCACAAGTGACAATTCAGTCATTCTCCACAGCTTAACAGAGGTCCACTTACATATATATAACTTGCCCTTTCCATATTTGCAAACCTGTGGTCTGCAGCAAGGTACCTGTGCACAAGAACCAATGACATAATAGCCTATGAAAATGTGTCTGCACTAAAATACAGAAGCCAGAGGATATATAATAATAAATATTTTCCCTTTATTTTAATAAATGGGTGTAACATTGGTAAAGAAAGCTTAAGCCATCCTCTAAATTTAATTTCTGGGATGATTACATCTTTGTTTTTTCCCTAAGCTACTCTGTAGCCCTCTTCTGTTAATAAAAGGGCCCAAGTGATCTCTTTAAAAGCTGAGATGCCTTTTCAGTAAGGTTTTCCAAAAAGTCTCTCTCTTCTACTTCCTATTTTCTCATAATTTGCTGAGACTCTCAGATAACAACAATGTACGCATCTAATTAAAATGGACTTTCTGTCATGTCAAATAATACCCAATATAAGTTAACCAACAGAAATGAAAATGGACACTCGTACAATTCTGATTCAAAAAACCCACCTCGAATCATTTTGAGATAATGTTTCCAGTTCTTCTGGAGGGCCAAAATCAGCAATTGACAATAATTCCTCAACCTGTAAACACAAGAAGACAATACATACGAAAGGTGCTGTATTAAATTTACTTTGTTCACACCTACACAAGAAACAGACAGTTATTAAACAGCAAATATTTTACTTTCTGTATGTTTAGAATATTTAGCAAAACCATTTCAAAATAGCCCTTTCCTCCTTTTCCATGGAACTCCTCATACTTCTTGCCTGGGAAGCTTGTGTCAAATAGGATAACTGATCTAGGGATTCCTACAAAGTTTTTTGACTTACGGACATTCTGAAGACTTGGCTAGGAATTGTGTGACATAGATAATTTTTATTTATTTGGTCTTACTTCAGTCTTGCAAATCCTTTTTCGTAACGTCCTTCCACTGGGATTTTTTTTTTCACTCTTCCCCCTTTCTGCAAGTTTGTATTTCTACTGCATGTAAATATTGAGTTCCCAACTCCTTTTTAACATTAACAAGGAGGGTTTTCAGTTGTCTTATGTATTTAACTTTCTTGGTGCCTATGCGCTGAACTTGAAGGTAACGTAGTCTGGGGGTTTTCTTCTTCAAAAAGATTAAGTGGTCATTTAACAAAGCTTGAGAAACAGTGATTAATGGAACAGGTTCCACAACAACAGACCTGAAAGGTAGGACCTGCAGGAGCAGGTATTTGTAGCTCCTCCTAGTAATGACAAAGTGCTTCCATAATCACTTGTCACTTGTTGTGTAGAATATCTTGTTTCGATTAGGGAAAGCATAATAACAAATATAAACAGCTTTCAGAAGTGTTTAGTTCATTTCTGTTCTTGTGCTTTTTGTTGATGCTAATGCAAGTGAAAAACATTTGCACTGTAGATCAGTATATCGGCATGAAATTCTTTTTTTTCTGACCACAGCAAATTCAAGCAATTCACTGCATTTCTAGAGAGTCTGAAGTTCTTGGTATCCCTGCCAGCTCTGCTGATACCCACCACATGAGCCCATAAGCCACCAACTGTAATTGGCTGTAACAGTAACACATCTAAGAATAAGGCACTTCAGGGCACAGAAACATGAACATGCTCTTTTCAACTAATGTTGTTTCCATTCACACCAACGGCTTGATGAGATGTTTTTAATTAAATTTTACTCATTGGTGTAATTTTCTCTTGTGGAAATCTCACTATTTAAGAGATCTCACTTCATAGTCCTAATGACAGCAAATTTCTACAAAACATCATTAGTCTAGAAAACATAATTATTCTAGAAAACATCCATTAACTAGTGGAAGTATTGCTAGATAAAACTGCCGACACCTTGACAGAAAATGTGAACTAGTAAAGGTAATTCTAAAAGTGAAAGAAAACCTAGTACAAGCAAGCTTACATCCTCTATGCAAAGATCTGCACTTCCCTAGAAACATTTTAAACTTCACAGATGGAAAAAGGTTGGGTTAAAGAAAAAACTAAATTCACTGATTCAATGGCATTTTACAAATTCAGAACATTTAAAATGTGGAAGACAGCTCCTCAGACCCCATGTCTATAATCATGTACACCAGGCAACAGACAACTGCCTACCCTATATTATTCTTTAAAATTGTCCCTTCATTTTTTTAGATTTCTTTATTGACCTAATGATCTGGCCTATAAGCTTCTCTGAAAACTTCACTTCTGAAATTTTAATAGTAGCATCAAAAAAAGTATATGAGGCGATAGCTACAAGGATTCTTTTACACAGTATATAAGCATCAGTATTATTAAAGATTCTTTGCTAAAATGCTTTGAAACAAGAAAAGGGTATAGACAAAGATTGATTTTTAATATAGACTGGCAGAGCAATTGAATGATCAGCTCTCTCCGTATTCCTGAACGTTACGCTATGTTAAGTCACCATGTTTGCATATCATTGTATTAGTACATTGAGTCAAAGATTACAATTACCTCTTTAACAGCTGCAGCTTTTTTGTCTTTTATAAATACTATTGGGGGTACGTTTCCTAGAATCTGATGACTCGACAGAAGATACCTGGCAAAAACACAGTATTCACCAGCATGAGTAACAGTACAGCAACTCCAGGACAGATAAAATTATGTTAAACTAACTCCAGCAGTACTGCAAATTCAAGGATACGGCTTGAACAAAACTTACAGTCTAATCAGGGTAGTGCTAAACAATACATCACTGAAGAATCCCAACTCTGAATGAGCAACATACAAAAACTACTAGCTGCAGATCCCACTGAGTATTGATAATGTTAGATTTGTTTCCTACATGCAGAGGCTGGCTCACGACTTTCCCCTACTTCACTGTAGGGGTGAGAGCAGTGGGGGATAGAGCCCTCACAACTAGTCCTACATGCTATCTGCAGGAGGGACTGGGAGGGCTCCCCTCGTCTTGTTCCCAGCCAGCAACATTCCTCTTCAAAGAGTAGCTCTTGGGAATAGAAGAGCGCACTGTGCTGGTGCAGGAATTACACAGCACAGGGGAACAGAGGGGAAGGAAACGGCTCTACAAATATGATTCAATGCCACATTCCCCATGAGGTCAAGTCCTGATCCTCCAACAGACCTGCTGGATAGCAGAGGATAACCAAGGAAAGAAGGAGAGACAAAAATCTCTATGATATCCTGAAAACTCACAAAAAATGGGTAAAAGTATCACAATGCATGGTAGTGTCCCAACATTTATTTTTTGGTATTAGTATTGTGAAAAATTTCTGTAATATCAGTCATCCCTTCTGGATGTCCAAATTGTCCCTAGCAATGAGAATTGCCCAGTGGATCTGTAAGGAGATACTTGTTGTAATTGCCAGTCTTCTTGTGCAGCATCATATTCTGGACTGCTGTGGTGCACAGCATGTCCAGCCCACCATCCCTAGTCCACCACTAGTACTTCAGCCGAACTCCTCTTTTGCTCAGTCCACCCCTAGGAAAGCACGGAAGCCCAATATGCCAGCTGTGCTCCAGCAGGAGAATACCCAGCTGGTCTGACACAGCCATCCTTCTCTGGGAACCTCATCACAGGAGATGCTCTGACTCCAAACACCTAAAAATGTAAAGCATCCTCGCAGTACCGATACAGATTCTTAAAAATACTTAAAAAACGGTACCAGTACATGGCTATGAATTTATGAAATGATCTAACTGTTTATCCCATAGCAGTACCGTATACGTGGAGCACTCTTCCGCAGTACACTTTCAACATAGTTTTCTTTCTCCATAGTAGCAGCAGGATTCCAGTACACCCGACATGCTGAAAAGTTTGATGCCAGGGACACCTGCAAAAAGACAAACGTTTCAGACACAACAAGTCTCTAATTCATGAATAAGCACACAGTGCCCCAAAGGGGATATGCAGATTCTCAGGAGAATCTCTTCTTCCATCTCTGCTCTTAGGAACCAAAATTACACGGTGCCTTTATAGAGGCAGAGTTTAACATCAAGTAAGATTTACATTCAGTACCTCAAAGGACTTTCCTTATTAAGGCAAGTCACTGCCTAATGTCCCCTTCAACTGAAACAAAATGGAGAAGTCTGTCAACACCTGTGCGTTACTGACAGCGCTACACTTAGTCAATGGGACGGTGCCACCATCACAAATAGTAAAGAATGACAACTTAGGGCATGCTGTGTTGGAATACAGTTGAAGGTGTAAGTTTCCACTAAAGAAGGACCCCTGACACTGCCTGGTTTGTTGTCACCCAGAGTTTGGTTTTGATATTGACAGAAAAGAGAACACCCTCCATGTCACTGTAACCTAAGAGTGTCTCCAGCCCTAAAGCCTGCTGAGAACCTCCAGTACCTGAACCTCTAGCTCACTAACAGCTAACATTCACAGCTGTCATGGATGCAACTGAAAACACGTGGTGTGAAGGGGCTGAAGCACACATGAGATAGGCTGACCATCTTCCTGAGGAATAAACTTCTAAAGCACAAATTGGATTCTGAAAGATTTCTAGAACTGTCATTCGTTGCATCTAGCAGCATCTTATGGAACAGGTTCCCACTATCAGAGTACACTCAGCAAACTTCTAACACCTTAGCTGTCTCAACCGAAGGAAGGAGCCCCGGAAGAGGGAGGAGAAAGCACAAACTACCCATTGGAAAGCACAGTTCAGAGGCATCTAGTCCAGAAACCAGCTCTTCAAACAAACAGATGTCTACAGACATTAGCGGGAAATGACAACTCCATCAGAGTGTTCCCAGGAGTGCAAACTGCACCACAGTCTGCTGTTGCCAGTGCTACTCTTTCCTAGGGCAGAGTGGACTGTCCATAAAAACCAAAGTAGATACTGATTTTTTCCACCACCAAATAACTCCTCCCTCAGGAAACCCACCACTCATTAAAAAAACCCCACCGTGATCATTAACCAGCTGCAGGATCAACCCTCCCCATCTTCCACACTGAGTAAGCACACAAACAACCTGTCTAACACAAGCCATTTCTTCATCATCACACGAGTAATGTTATCAAGTGGATAAAAGTTTGATGTACCAAGCCTGAAGCGTGATTCTCAGCTGTATTACTATTACATAATTTTAACTTCTGATACTGAAAAAAAACCAGATTCTGATGGATTGCAGAAAGCCTACTAGAAGATTTCTTTTGATAACAGAAGTAACAATACCAGAGCAGAATCAGCTCAAGAGTAAATCAGGACTGAGTCTCAGTCGTGTCTCAGTGCAGCAGGAACACAAAGCACTCTACAGTTATAATAAAATCTATACTATATTTGGAAGAAGGCTGTTTCTTCCCCTCTCAAACTGAAGTTGTTTCATTTACATCAATGCCTCCTGACAGTGCTGTGGCTTGCCTACACCAGACAGTATTTTTATGTGCAGACATGCCATCCAAGTTAGACAAGCAATCCTCAAAGCCCTAGAGAGAGAGAAATTCTATACCAAGGACAGTGCACATATAGAGCCAAAAGATTCATCCTGCCCATGCTAGAAGTCAGAATTAATTCAGCTGGCAAGAACATCTGTTTCAGTCATAAATGGCAAACTCCTTGTCACAGATACAGCTAGCAGGTGCATTTTTTTTTCCAAGCTTCTAACTAACAAAGCTAGGTCCATCAAGCTTTTAAGCCAAACATTGGTATTATTTAATCTTAACAAAACAGCAAACGTAGAAGAAAAAACTAAAGACAACAAAAAAGAACGTGGAGACTGACAGTTCCTGAACCAGAGCTTTAGCTTTCCTTTCAAACCCGTGAATTATGACAACACTAGCTACAATTATGTACAAATTCCAATTTTTTCTGGAACTTTGTTTGCCAGTGCCATTTCCTTAGGCTTGCCTTTTTTTGAACTAAGGTCATGCCCCACTTAGGTCTTCTGCCTGTGTAATGATGCTGGGAGGGACACAAGGAGGTATCAACTCTCCCACAGCTGCACAAAGGGAAAGATACACCTATGTTGGCAAAACCAGGCTTTTCCTTCTGAAAGGGCAAGGCAAATAGTACGCATCTGAGTGAGAGAAAAAAAAGCCATACCAGGAGAATCACCATTTAGTTGGCCTAAGTTTCATTTGCATTATAGCAGCAAAGGTCGACTAAGCGAGGTACAACAATGGCAAAGTTGTCCTAGTGTATAAGGTGAATACAGAGCCTCATCTTGCTGTGCCACATCAGCAGCAATGCAGCAAAACTCCTCCTGCACCTATCACAACACCCAGGGGAGCTCCTTTAGCATGCCATGCTGACCTCAAGGTGTAGTCAGAGTGGCTCAACACCAGCTGTAGCTTTGACACTTGCCTTGCCGATTTCCAGCTTGAGATCATAAAGTTCTTGACTAACTTCACAGGTAGTCATCATGTCTGACACAGCTTTATAAATAAGTCCATTCAAGACTCTGCAGCGTATGTTATCTTCTTTCCTAGTTTTTGTCTGGTTATCTTCCATTACAGAGTCCAACTTGGTTGGTTTATACATCTTTAAAAAAAAAAAAAAAACAACAAACACCAAAACATTAATCAGTAGTTACAAACTTGTATTAGGCAATTATGTACAGTTCATAGAATCA